AGAAATGTTATTGTAATTTAAAGGTGAGCATATGGAATGACCTGTGGAATAACCCCTTCTCAATGATTCTAAATGTTATATTAATTCACCATTTACCGTTTGATAACATGTTAGTTTATCAGAAATATTTTCCTCTTCCATAAAACAGGTTTGAGAAATAAATGTTCCAATATAAAATCAATTACTCAATATAATTGACTCTTCCCTCCCTTTTCTTACATATGTCTCATATGAAATAATAACTTAGGAGTCTATTTAAGCATGGTGTAATCTATTAATCTATTACTCGAGAAGACTCAGTATCATCTGTGTGCAGCTTACAAAAAAACAAACAATTGTGAGAAACATATATTATGCAGGAACTGTATACCTTTGTTGAAAAACAAAGCATATCTGATTTGGGAGGAAAAGCTTCATCCCCCTTAACATCTGAGTCACTACTGATGGCATAGCATAAATGATAGTGAGTGTCTGAGGGTGTTTTTACTGAGAAATGTCAAACACATTCAAAACCTTACATTTGAAAACAGGTTTGCATTCCTCCACTTAAAATGACGTTATCATTGGAAACAATAAAAGCTAATTGTTTTGATGTAGAATCTATCAATTGAATTGTTAGAGCAGAACAGAATGGTCGTATTGTAGCCTGAGTACCGTGCAGCCTTTAGTTTCACCAGGTGGAAACATTGTCCATATAATGTGAATACATGTAGAACTAGACATTCAGAGGCCCCTGACATTTAGGCCTATTTTAAAAAATAGTAGGGGCTTTTAACAGCTTGCCAACCTACAGGCATCCTCTGCATAGCAGTATGAATAGCCTTAAAAAAAACAACCCACTCTGCGGTATCGAGAGTCATATTTCTGAACCAAATGCCCTAAGTTAAGCCGTTAGTCCCATCTGACTGACCCAAGGGTTGGTGCTGGTGTGACCGGGAGGCTTCCAGGTGTTCAGATGTCAAGCTTTCAGTTCATGGCTTGGTGGGGGGAGTGGCCCACGTGAGACAGTATTGTTCAGTCTGAGGAGCGGCATTGTCTCTGGAAGCAGGGAATGGTGTCCATTCTCAGACCAGACCATTAATGTCATTTCATGTAGAGCAGCCATAGCATCTCTGTGACTGCACTCAGCCGGACTGTAGCAAGGTAGAACTGGGTGACTCTTAGTGAAGCCGTCCAAGGCCATAGACAGAATGGAACCACGTACCAACAAAAGGGACACAAGGTCATCAATGTCTCTCTTTACCATTGGCCTAATTGCACAACAAATTAGTGGGAAAAATGTGGAGCACTAATCCATCATCATGTGAAATGTTGAGTTAATCTAAATAATTACTTATGGGTTGAAATCAAATTAACATTAGAACTAAAGTCAGTCAAAATTGGACTTTCCACGGATCCGAATCTAAGCAATACACCATTTCCCCAGCTCTGTAATGAAAAGGATAAGAAGATTAGGTTCTAGTAGAGATTAGAGGACAAGGTCTAATGTTGTGAACAAAATGATCAATTCAAAGTTATTTTGTTTATTGTTATGTACCTAATTTAATTTAATAATTAATCTTGAATTACTAATAACTTTAAAGAAGGCAACAATTTACAATTTGGATGAAGTGATTACTCATCCAAAGTGTGTGTGTGTGTGTGTGCTTATCTGCCCAAGGTTTAAAACATTTGGGACAGCACAGCAGTGAGAATGTTATGAGAACCAATCTGTTGTTTATACTAAACTCGAAGGAAGCTAGACTGGAACATTTTAAATAAATCAAAACACTTGCACATTAATTAAATACATTTCACATTTAGCTCGAGCTGGGTTCAATACTTTTCTTTATGGTATTTAAAATTGGACTCAAGTAGAACCCCTGGATTTGGCTTGCAACACAAAGTGATACTGATCTCTGTAGGACTTGGAAGTGTTATGATTCAAAGTGCCTGTGAAAGAGAGGCCCTTGGAAAACAACACCTATTTTTTAACTGTAATTACTTATTTTAAAGAAATTGCAACATTATACTTTTAAAGAATTGCTCAATTAATTTAACACATTTATTATGCACACAATAAAAACTTCAACAAATATATTGATCCTGGCTTAACCAGCAACCTTTACTCTATTGTTCATAAGCTCGGTTTCAGAAAACTTGTCAGTAGTTTAACAACTATTTTAATTTTAGCATCCTCTATGGAGACCAATTGGTTGATACTAGAAATAATTTAAAGCAGTTTAATAAAGAGTGTTAAACTATTTTTAAAACTGTAATTGAACTTCAACTTATATTAATTACCTGATTCCAGTGGCCAGTTGGAACAGAATAATTAACACAGTTTCCATTTTGCTGCAACAGCGCAAAAGTTTTCAACAACAATTAGTATTATGTCTGAGTCTAGTTCTGTCTTATCTGCTTTGTTTCGGAATGTGTTCAATACATTACGTTTTTATTCATTATTACTATACAATACATAGATTAAGAATAAATGAAACAAATAATACAACATTGACCTAAAACCAGATTTTGCAACCCTGATCTCCTCAGGCAAGTCTCTGAGGGTCTCGGGGCGCAGGACGGGCATAGGGTTTATACAAGGTCACAAAGATATCTTAACATACCAGCAATACCATTTAAGAATGGATTCTTAAAGCAATATAATCTTATTTTCTTCTTACACCTAGCGCTCACCCTGAACAGTGTGCTTCTTGTTTACATTTTCCCCTGCACTCAGAGGCAGGACATAAAAACACTTTTTATTTTTCTCAGGTCATTTACTTTTGGTGAGATAATTAAAGTTTAGTTCATTTTACCCTGTCTATGGACTGATTCATTATTAGTTGTTACAAAACATACACAAGACGGCGGGACAAACCAATATAGACCCCCCATACAAACAATCAGACAAACAAAACATGAACTCTTAATAAACACCAGCGCAACAGCAAAGCTCATCCAGCTCAATTTAGTCCGGATTTTAGAGAGATCTTAGAGGGGGTGGGAATTATCTCCAGTGCGGCGTCTTCTCACGCCTCACCCTTGCATACAAGTGATTTATCGGTGCCTGAAAGCCGTCCAAGAACGATAACTAGCTTATCCTCTTGCGACAACCACTAGGCTATTTGTTTCTAGTGGCGCTGTGCCCCCCCGATCGGAGCCCACAGACTTTTTCCCTGCCCTTTCTCTCCAAACAACAGCTCAGTTGAGTACGACCAGCCTATATACACTTGCTATCGAGTTCACCTCAAGGTGAAACACAGTTTGCCTACGCTTGCTTGCCACTACACACCTCTGATCAATTAGCCTATAATTGTATGTATGCACTCCTGACCGCCACCTGCTCCAGAGAGCCGTAGCACATCGGGTGATGCACGCACTTCGCGCTGGCCCGTCTAACCATGAGAAAAGCGGTCCTAAACAACGAGTGCTTTTAGACCGTCCCGTTTGAAGGACGGCGGTGCCGTGAGTTAAAGCCTATAGGCAATAAGCTGTGACTTTCTCCCTCTCAGCCTGCACTGCTCCAGCCCCACACACACACGGGGAGGTTTTACACACACACGCAAGGCTGCAGCTGGAGCCGTGTTTTTACAGAGAGGTGATAGCAGCAAATATCTTTGGCTGCTTATTTTCAACTGCTGTGCTTAGCCACTAAGACTCCCAAAATCCGGCGATTTGTTCAATACAAATCTTTTACATTGCTTTCAATTCACACAGAAGCTCCACTTCACTGATGCTCTTTCTTTAAGGTATCTCTAAACATGAGCTGTGTATGCCTGTATGGCACTTCCGTCCCGAGCAGCACACACAGAGGAAATAAGCCAGGACTGAGTCCCCAGACACTGATCTCCTGGGTTTATCATCCCCAAATGTTCATTAACCAAAAGGAAACGCAGCCGATCAGTTTCACAGGTAATTTTAGGATACCGTCAATCACAGATTCTGATAAGGCAATGTCCAAAGTAGATTTGAAAATCACACTTACCACAATCTGAAGATCTGTTGGCATCCTGCCGACAACGCCAATTTGTAGTGGAAACTTCTGTGTAGCTATGCAGTGGGAGTCACCGACTCAGGAAGGAGACACGGGAAGAGCAGTAGCTTTGATGTCAAACACATGATGGTTTATTTGGAGTTAAACGGCCGGAGGATTCACATCACAAGTCCAAGAGTCAGAGGTTCTGACTTCACGGTAGAGTTGCCACGTCAATTCTGGAGAGCCTCTCTCTTGCCAGCCCATCTAACTGGTTTCGCAGAGAGTAAACAACATATTTTGAGGAGATAGCCTAAACAGTGTGGGAACACAGAGCTACTTGCCTCGGACACTTATGACCTCGAAGATTTTACCTTGGAGTCCACAAATACAGAGAAGGAAGTGTCCCAGTGTACCCACAACACAGACCATCTGTATCCCAGTATTGACCGGTCACAGAATGGGAACAATAACATTATTGGCTAAGCCGCCTGTGTCCTTAAAGAAGGTAAACAGACATCAAGGTTTGTCCTGTATGTTACTAATTGGCGTCTTATGATAATTATTTCCACAACAGTAGTGAGATATTTTCTTTTAACACATACCACTGTGTGATAATAAAAGTGTATTGGCATCAATGTACTTCGAGTTTCAGAAATATTCTCTTTTTTTTGTCACAACTATTGTTACATTAATGCATTTAAGGTAGCAGCTGGTAAAGGAGGAGTTTATTTTGTAACTGATTCTAATATTCCTAATAATTTTTTTAATGTAAAATACACTTATTTTGAAATCCCAGAACCATTGATTAGTTACAGATATGATCAGCTGTTTCAAAATGCCTCTCCACACTATATTCAGATCCCTTTATTTATTGGGAGCAAAATAACCCGTTATCATCCGTACATTTATCTTACGTCAGCTTCACTGAATGTTCTAGCAGTGTGACATTCCATCAGACAACCGGTCTGCTCAGAAAGAGGGAGGGGAGGTGAAGAGCATGAACTCCCCCGGGCTGAAGGGACAAAATCAGTGTGCAAAACAGCAGAAAGCAGCAGAAGCAAGTGGACAGAGAGAGAAAGGTGGAAACATGTCTCAGAAAGAAGAACATCGTTTGTTATCACACTGCTAATAATCATATAGAGTGTACCTGGTTCGGCACAGCTGTTTATCACTCTCTTTGGTTTCACTTTTTCTGCATCACACAGACCAATCTGCATCAATGAAGATCTGGATTTTAATGTTTTTTTGCGTCCTGTTATCCATGGCACTGTCAGTGTTAATCCAGGTCCAACAACAAATGATAATCACGATGAACAATAAGAACGAAACGTTTACAATGACATTCAAGAAACTTAATAAACAACTTTCAAATTTAGACACGGTAAAAGTTGAGTTGGTCAGGCTGACTGTTTTTGCGCAAGAAGAGACAAAGGATCTTGAGGCTCAACCTGTTCCAGATGTGGATAAGCAGAAACAAGAACTTGACGCCTGTCGAGCTGAAAAGGTGAATAGTTGTTTTTGTTGTTGTTGTTGTTGTGTTTTTGGTATTTGCGTCAGCAGCTTCATTTATTATATGAAAAAGTGAACCCTGCAGCCTTTGAAAAAACAATTATTATAAGCAGCAAGTGCTTAGTGAACACTCTGTTTGTTTATAACTTGTTTGTAATTATGTTCCTCACTCTTTATTTTGTATCTTGTCTTACTCTGTAAAGCACTTTGGGCTGCATCTTGCATGAAAGGTGCTATATAAATAAAGTGTGTTCTCTTATGGCCTATATGCTTTCTTCAAATAACTCTTGTCAGATTAATCAATAATAATACAAAATGGTTAGTTGTAGCCTTGTTTCATGTTTTTGTAATGAAAAACAATCTTAGTGGTAACTAAGGATACTTCCATATTAAATTAAATTGAATTCAATTAAAAAGTGACAGGTTAAGGAAAATACCAATTTAGAAAAGCAAGTATGCCAACCTGAGTAAAATATCTAGCTATTTTAAATAATCCAATATTTCACAGAAAAAATCTTTTAAAAACAAATGAAATTCCCTATTCATCATTTCCCAACCCTTTCTCTTGTGCCCTTGTAAACATAGCTGCACCTCAGATTGTAACATGCATTACTATCTATCAATGTAATATGGAATAATATATCACTCACATGAACCGTAATACTTTAACTTTTAGGTAGGATTTTAAAAACAGGACTTTTACTTGTTATTGAGTTTTTTTTTCCAGTGAGTATTCTTCCATACCTGCCTGTTTTCCACCTGCCCCCTACACGCCGTACAGCTTTGATGCTATTGTAGGGTTTACAAACCCACAAGTATTGAGTGTTTTCTGACTTTCTCCCACACTATTGTACAAAACAAAAGCTGATGAGCTTGCGAGCATCAAGCAGAAACACGCAGTGATTGCAGGTATAACACAACTCTTGATATTTGGTCAGCTGCTATTGCCATCATGTGGTGAAATACAAGAATGACTGTTAAGGTTTGAATTTGTCCTTCTTTTTTGTCACTTAGCAAATTTAAAATCAGAGTCTGATGCCTGGGAGCAAGAGATTCAAAGCCTGAAATCACACATTTCGGGGTACAGGCCAATATGTGATCATGTCAAGAATGTCCCATTGGCTGTGTAAGTCACAAGTATACTATCAATTAAACATTTGTAAGACTGAACAGAATGCATTAATAATCACATGCTTGTTTCTTGTAGGAAATTATGTGGCACCAAAAATAAACCTGTCGATAAAGGAGAGAAGGCATCTTGGATCTCCACAACGCCAGTAATTCACAATTGATCCAAGAGTTAGGTTTATGATGATATTAGTGTCATTCCTGTTACTGCTGTATAAAAGGATAATATGTTTTTCAGCTCAAATGTATAAAACTGCCAGTACATGGATAATACTTCTTCCAGTTGCAGAGTATAAAGAAAGAATAATTGGAGTTTATCATTATACTAAATTGATAGTGAATTATTATGGCTCATGTTACTGTTTGTATAGTTCTTGCAAGTTCTTGTTGACATATACTTATATTAAATTATTAGACTTTTTGTCTGTCCCTTCAGTGTAATTTCTCTTCATCTTACAGGTTCATATATTGCCGTGTCTATGAAAGGACAAAGCATTAAGCTCTGTTGGAATTCAGCATTTTTCATCTAAATGAAGCATCCATCACATTGAGGTTAACATGCAAACATCAGGGTATGATATTTTCAACCATGCTTTGAAATAACACATCAGGGGAATATAGGGTCTTTACATGTCCCAAATGTGTTCAAGGCGCAGGTATGCCATTAGTGAGCTTTAGTTACAGTTGAAAAGATCCAGGCTATGTTTAATGCGAACCGGCTTTAGGCCCTATAAGTGGAATGTAAATTGGATAGGAATCATACAAAATTGACATACTGTAACTCTCTACCCATCTTGATTTCAATCATCCTATATTTGTAATGTTATATCATCACATAATTAGCCCTACTGAATTTTTTTTAAGAACTACTTAATCATCAATTTTGACTTGATTTCCAAAATGCTGCACTTGAAGCTCCTGGAGTGATTGTGACTGACAGTAATTGGGCCTGCAGCTTCTCAACTGTTCCTGTTAGGAGGTACAGGTGTAAATGTGATAGGATACCTGCCACTTAAGAGCTTGTATGGACCAACAAAGGTGAAATGTGATCTAACAGGGGGTCTGAAGTGAAAATTGACCTCTTCACAGACAGGGTGGGCTGCTGTGGGCTGCTCTGTGCATGTTTACAAGTCTGTATTTACTATTAAGTATCCGGTGAACATAACAATTACCCCAAACACTGAAAGCAATCTGCAGAAAGGTTGTGCAAATGTAATGTAATTTTGAGATGCTAATCTCCTTTGAATATTGCAAAAGAGATGAGTTTTCCTGTTATGTGTAGAACATTTGAACACAATAATTTGTCTCTACAATGTTTTTCAAATTTCAATCATTTGAAATAATAGATATGTAAGTTACGGGTCTTCTCTGTGCCCTTATCCTGTGAAACACTGGGCCAACTGCAAATACAAAAGTTGTGTTACACCATAGGTTACACCCCACAAAAATCAAGAGGGCCCTGCGAACCTTTGGAGACCATAACTGGGGGTCACGACACAAAGGTTCATGAAGTCTCTAATAAACTTTTCAATTAAGTCTTTTAAATGTGCAGTTCTGTGCAGTCAATCATTTGTAGTTTAAATGTAAACATAGACAATTCTTTTTTACATAATCTGCTTGGTGTCTCGGCCTTATTCTCAAGCTTCAGATTTATGAGGGTTCCCCATTTCACATTATCTCCATCAAATCCAAATAAATAGGCACATTTTAAATGTGACACTTTAAAGTAGTTATATTAGTTTGTACAGTAATCAGTGATACAGTGTCTGTAGGCCTACCATGGGTCTAACAAATAGAATACGGACTTTTAACACTAAGGCAGTATTTTTTAATAGCACATCATTTAAAAGTGTACGCTTTCAAGATGGTTTTTGGGAAAAACCTTTGGTAAAATTATAAATAACAGTCAGTGTATCAGAGGAATAGCGAGCCTGACAAATTAATACACTTCTCGCATGCACAGCACAGTGGTTTTCAAAGAGGAACCGTGTTTCCGGTAATGATAGCAATGCGCAACCGGACCTGCAGCCGCATCAACACCCGGGACTCTTCCCGAGGAGGGAGGGCTCTTCTACCGGAGGGGGGAGGAGGAGGGAGGAGGAGGAGTGAGGTAAGTGGACGCAGTTATGCCAACAAGCCGATTATTGAAGGCTACTGAGCCCTGTCTGTCAATTTGTGTCCGTCCTCTGATGGTCATACAAAGGGAGACGAAATACATCCGCGGACCAAGTTTTCATTCTCTACGACGCGGAGGAGGCCCTATCCAGGACAGGAAAGTACTTTTTTTACACTGTAACTTTTTATGGATATATTATGTGAAACTCGGGCTGGGGAAGTCACTGTTTCTGTTATACATGATTTTGAGACAAAATAGTTGTGGTAGTAACTCTACAGAGTTCTGAAAGTGATCTCCCTTTACTTAATTGTGTTTTTTTAGGTTCATTTGGTGACACTGTTTTTGTTTGTTTTTTTCAACTAGTTGCACGGAATTTCATTTTTTATAATCTGCTTGAAAGTGCTTTAAGGATAGCTATTTTTCTTAATGAAGAAGTGAAAGAAATCTGATAAATGAGCAGCTGCAGTTACATTTAACAGTAAGTTAAAATCAGGCCACTACAAGCCAAATCAACAGCAGAGCAAGCTTAGCCTTTTTAAAAGTTCAGTGGAGGGGTAATGAAAATGACAAGCCTCTCCAGGAGTACAGATGACCAAAGAAACATTGGTGAGAGTCCATCTCACATACCTGAGAACCCCAGGTACCGCAGCTGGGGCAGCATCCGCTTCTCGAGATGGAGAAGTGGCTCCCAGAGGGCGAGCCCTCCTGGTACCCCCTCCTCGAAGTCAGAGAAGAAGGCGGATGTGACCAAGACGCTCTTCTCCTTGGTTCAGACTCACAATGACGACTACACAGCAGATCCAGAAGGCCTGCTGGAAACCAAGGAGGAGGGCGAGGAGGGCAAGGAGGGCAAGGAGGGCGAGGACGTTGGGCCCGCAGAAGACGAGTCCAACTATTTCCAGAAGCAGTTTGGGTCAATGCTGCAGCCCGGGGTCAACAAGTTCTCCCTGCGCATGTTCGGCAGCCACAAGGGTGTTGCAGCTGAGCAGGCCAGGGTCAGGAGCTTCGGAGTGTGGATCATCCATCCCTACAGTGACTTCAGGTAAACATGAGGTTTTCTTCACAGTCACCCCCTAATTTCAATGCTGTGTGTGGGAAAGTTTGTCTACATAAGTTTTTCATTAAAGTGGAAACAGACAGCTTTTCAACTTCCCGCTCCTCTGCGTTTCCAAGTAATATTATTGTTTGTGACACAAAACAACTTGCGTTTTGCTCAGAGCGTGGCCACTAGTGACAATAAAGACAGGACACACTGCATTTGGATACTCTTTGGTAACTTGGTATAGCTACTGATACATGGAACACACAATAACTATACTCTTCTTGTTTTCGTTGTGCAATGATTGACACATTTCTTACGTGCTGTCAATCGACAATTGTAAACAGATTTGCATGGTGAAAGTGAGGATTATAGTAAAACAAGCCAAACGCAGATGGTATTTTTATTCAATCAAGATGACATCATAATAATGAGTTAAAAGCAAAAATAGATATATATTGCCACTTACAAATTGACAGAAATGCAATTTTGTGCACTTGTCAGTAGACAGGATTCTCCAATTTGTCATATATTTTTTACACATTTCCCTTGTTTCATCTGAACAGCCTGCGATTGTGTTCAGATCCAATTTTTTCAAGGGCAGCCCGCAGCTGACGGCCCATAGCACATGATAAGGCGATGAAGGGATTTGATTAGTGATACAGTATATGGGGCAAGATCATCTGGATTAATGGTGCCACTGGTAACTCCCTTTCTCCCTGTTTACCAGGCAGGAGGGAGAACTAAATTCATTGATCCAGTAAATCCAAGTGATATTTTGGGTTTCATTTGAAAAACATCCAATCGAGGCCGTATTCCAGCCTCACTTCTCAAGGATTTATCAGATAATATTTTGGGAAAGTGTCATTATAGCAGCCATGCTCCAAGCAATCTCACTTAATAGTCACTTAATAGTCACTGTCAAATTTAAACAACATTTTAAAACATCAGGCCTGTGCCAGACAGAGGGATTATTTCCCATAAGAATCCCTATAATTCCAATCTTGCTCTATTATGCAATAATACACAGGCAGCTGAAGGGGGGATTACCAAAGGCCTGCTCTCCTTAAACCTTATGTTCCAATTTACACTTTAAAATGGATGAGTTCTCATAGCACATTTTGGTGCTCAGCTATAGAATGAGACAAGAAAGAGGGCCAACAAAGGTCAATCACTGAAATACAAAGGAGGGTGTTAGGATTGCATTATATGGAACTAGCTTTCATCCCTAGGCCTCTCGTCAGATCTTTTATTTTTCCTAAACAGATTCAATCCTGGATTTAGATTCAACATAAAATGCTGTAAAACCACACTCCTATTTTCTGCTCTACTCCTGCTGTTATTAATAGCTGAAAAGTCTAAAAGGTTTTAATTCAGCAGAATTAACTCCGCTTCTCACTCTTTTGCTTAAGCAAACACTAATCTGCTGCAACATGAGAGGACGTGATAAGTAGTCATGTAAACCAGCATGTAGACACTGAGGACACGGACGCGAGAAATTGATGAAGGGATAAACGTGAATGAGAACGAGGAAATCACCTATAAGTCCCTGTTTCTCTACTTTGACTGGCTCAAGAAGATGTTCTTTTTTTTTTTACAGGGTACATATTGCCAATACATAAAAGTATCAAGGCCAGGCATAACCCTAAAAAATGTGGAGCTTTTATATTTTATTTGGCCAAGTCCAATGGATAAGAATAAAGTTGAAATGCTAAGAATAAAGTTGAAATACAAAAATAATTCAGTTAAACTGTCATTATATTCAAATAGTAGTGCTAGTTTTGTGTGCTTTGGTTTATTCTCAGACTCGACTTAAATCTAGAAATGTCAATTTATTCTCAACATGAAAAATGAACACATAAATTAAGAAAATTCACTCATTCTTACAGTGAGTCATTTTTCACCCTTATCTTTGGACCAAATAGTATTCCAGATCAAAAATACACTGTTTCATATTCTGTTACTATGCCTCTGTAATGAAAGAACAAAGTGATTGACACTTGATGGAAACACTCTGTAAGGAAACCTACACTGTGTACTGTTTGTGTATAACGAGACACTGGACACTAAAAGGAAAATGTGGCTTGTATGACATGAAGCAGACAGTGATGAGTGCAGCAATGTGCAGCGAAGACATCTGGGCTTCCAAATCCTGAAAGCAGCAGACTGTGACAGACATTTCCAGTAGCAGTGACGTTCTCTTCATTGTCCTCATGTTGAGCTCGATGAGATAAACACCATTCATTTTTGATGAGCTGGGGTTCCTCCTGCGGCAGGAACTTCTGACGAGACTTAGGGTAACTCTGAAGTGGGTCATTCCCTCGATACATAGCAATCCTCCTGATTGGGCTCCAGGTGACATGATAGTCATTTTAAGTTCTTTAACTTCAGGGAAAAGCTTCAATAGGACTGGAATGACGGGAAAACAGAAAATACATTTTGCTAAGTAGCACCAACTAACACTAAAGCTCAGCGTTTAAATATTGTATATTTGATTGCAACAGCAACATGTTATTCTATTTGATAAGAACACTACAGTAGCATTGGAATATGCGTCTTCACAGGGACCATATACACTGTGTTTAGACATTGTAGTAGTTAAGAATACCTGTCCACTGGTAAAAAAAGTAGAAACTAGAAAACAAAAGCCAAAATGGAAAACATAATTATATGTCCATGGGAACATACCCAAATGTACATCCACATAGTAGATGTAAGACCTATAAAAAACCTTCATTGTGCATTTTCAATTGAGTTGTTAGACAGTTCAATAGTTCTGCTATGTGTGACTCTACTGGTGTGCTGGTGTTTTGTAACAAATTCATTAAGCAGAGCAGGATCATGACCATGTAGGCCTTAAAAAATAACGTGTGATTTAGGGAGTTAGGGCTACTGGGCAACTAGCCAAACTAATCTTAAATCTCTCTAGCTGACAGTGTACTTATCCGCTTCTCTAACTCTTTGTAAGAAAGTAAGCATATTTCCAAAAAATTATAAATTTCTTTAGATTGAAATCCTGTAACTTTTAGAGTCAAACATTGTTTTTTAACCGGTTTTTTTATCCAGGGAAAATATCTCTCAGAGCAAATGCTCACACCCTGCTAACATTCACTTCTGAAATGCATGTGTTTGAACACACTTTAGTAACTGGTGTGTCTTTATCTAGTGAATTTATGATTTGATATAAAGACACACGTCAAGAGCTGCAGTAAAACAAACATAGTCTGCGTGATCAACAGACTCCACAACAATTAATTCACTCATTATGTGAACAGATTTCACCATAAGCCTCATGCTGCCTGCAGGGTGAAAGGCCTTTACCCTCAGCAAAGGTCCCTGCCCAAAAGCACAAACCTAACATTATTACTGGGATTCATTCATTTGAAACACAAATGAGCCAGTAAGATTTGGTCCTGTGTCAACAGGGCTTTCAGCAAGTTTTTAGTTTGTTAGACTTTGTATATATTGTACATTATGTAATAACTATTTATGTTAACCTGCAATAGAGAAACATTGATTTGTATATTGTTTGTTTTATTAATGTGTGATATATATTTTTTAACATTAACAAAATCATCTGTGTTCTTATGAGTGTATGTCTTCGTATATATCCAAAATCTATTTACATCCATACACATGCTCTCATCCTCATTTATTTACAGTAGAAACTGCAGTCTTGTTATGAGCAGAATTTCTTAGTAACTACATTGAGTGTGAACTTGATTGTATTAATTGCTTAAATAAGGAGAAAAAAACTCAACTTTGAATGTCCTTTGTTATGGAGCGATGTTAATATTTAAATGTACAGTGGACCACTTTTCAAAGAAGGTATCTGTGAGCCCTGGAAACTTTTGGTGTAACATGCTGTCCAGTTGGCGACTCATGCTGTCAGATGATTATGGACACTGGATCTACTCACAGTTTTACATCTGCACAACCTCAACGTTTCACCACTCCTGTTCTGTGCAGGTTTTACTGGGACCTTGTGATGCTGCTGTTGATGATGAGCAATCTGGTCATCTTGCCGTGGGGAATCACCTTCTTTGAAGACCAGAACACCATGCCCTGGATCACCTTCAATGTCCTGTCGGACACTCTCTTCCTCATGGACCTGGTTTTCAATTTCCGTACGGGCATCCCGGTAGAGGACAGTCACATCATCCTGGACCCCAAAGAGATCCGCATTCATTACCTGCGCACCTGGTTCATGGTGGACTTCATCTCCTCCATCCCTGTTGACTACATCTTCCTTGTTGTTGACCTGGAGTCCCTGCAGGAGTCGTCTGATGTGTACCGCACAGCCCGCGCCCTCCGCATCGTGCGCTTCACCAAGATCCTCAGTCTGCTACGTCTCCTCAGACTGTCTCGCCTCATCCGCTACATTCACCAGTGGGAGGAGGTAAAGGAAGGATGTCAGACACACCACACAATGACATAAATAACCGTACATGTTAGAAATTAACAGTTTTTCTCTTCACCAATTTTTCCCTCAGATTTTCCACATGACTTATGACCTGGCCAGTGCTGCGGTGCGAATAGTCAACTTGATAGGCATGATGCTGCTGTTGTGCCACTGGGATGGCTGCCTGACCTTCATGGTGCCGATGCTGCAAGACTTCCCCCCAGACTGCTGGGTATCCAAGAATGACATGGTGGTGAGTACATCTTCATTTAAACATACTCACATACATACTTTATGATATCTTTAAACCTGGAAAGCTATTTTCAAAGATGTTCCTAATTATGGGGAAATAACAGTTTCATTTACATCCAATTAACACTCTTTCTTTATACTGTTTGACAAACAAACTGAATTTTGGGGGTTGAACCAGGGAATGTTTCTTTACATGGCATGCATACCCATTTAAGGCTCACCATAAATTCCTTTATTCTCCTTTTGACATGGTCAGACCTAGCTCTTTTGTCTGGTGCTAAGCTACTGGTTGTTGCACAGTGCATTTCACGCACAGTGGGTAATTCTCGGCAGGAAAGTGAATGAACAAATGCATCAACTGTGTTTAATATCCATATATTTAACACAAAATAACATTATTCCAAGGAAAGGTTATCTGTAAAATGCGCTTACTTAAGCTGCATACTTTGGCCTCTCGTTACCTATTTTAATTAATAAATGTTCTCATAAAAATATGACTGTACTTTCCTCTTGTTTTCTTTTACAGAATTCTACATGGCACCTACAATACTCCTATGCCCTGTTTATGGCCATGAGTCACATGCTGTGTATAGGATACGGGGCGCACGCCCCAGAAGGCTTGACTGACGTTTGGCTCACCATGATCAGCATGGTGGTGGGGGCCACCTGCTACGCCATGTTCCTGGGTCATGCAACTACCCTGGTCCAGTCATTGGATGCATCACATCGCCAATACCAAGAGAAGGTAATCACTTCTGCTCTGAAAGGATATGATTACCAAGCTAAACACATTTTGATTGGTGCACAATATGTCCCAGGAGCTTCAGATAGAGGATAATGTGATCATGACTTTGAGGTTTAATTTCACAGTCATGTTTTATATTATAAGGTTGCTGTCTTGCTCGTATTTGATTCATGGAAACTCTCCAGTAGTGCCTAGAGAATATGTGTATTATCTAATGAATTTTGTGGCTTCCCTGTGATCCTTTACTGGGGATTTTCACAGGATAAAGCTTCACAGATGAGGGACAAACCATTGTTGTGGATAACTGTCGCTAATACCCATTACAAATGAGTTTGTAATCCACTTGAAATTGGAACAAAACTGCAAAACGAATAGAATGGAGGCATAACGATTATACTAATTCCAAAAACACATGGTACAAAATGTGACGAAATGTGACATCTGACATCAGCTCTGTTGAATTTCAATTGTCCCGTGATGAAGGTCAAACCTCTGTGTGTTTGTGCAAATGTTTCCAGTATAAGCAGGTGGAGCAGTACATGTCCTTCCATAAACTGCCCGCGGACGTAAGACAGAGGATCCATGATTATTACGAGCAGCGATTCCAAGGCAAGATGTTCGATGAGAACAGTATCTTTGGAGAGCTCAGTGATCCGCTGAAGGAGGTGTGTGCTTCATGAATACTTTAAGTAAGGCAAGGCAAGGCAAGGCAAGTTTATTTATATAGCACCTTTCAACACAAGGCAATTCAAGGTGCTTTACAAAAATGAAAGACATTCAGACAAAGGCATATAAAAACAGTAAAAGATAATAAAAGAAACATTAAAAGAAAAAATACATGAATAAAAAGTACATGAATAAAAAGTTACAGTGCAGTTTAAGATATGAATATTTCACACAGAAGTTCCACTTTACTGATGAACACAACGGCTCAGTTTCAATTAAAAGCAGCGACAAAAAGAAAAGTCTTCAGCCTGGATTTAAAAGTAGTCAGAGTTGCAGCGGACCTGCAGGTTTCTGGGAGTTTGTTCCAGATATTTGGAGCATAATAACTGAATGCTGCTTCTCCATGTTTAGTTCTGACTCTGGGGACAGAAAGCTGACCAGTCCCTGAAGACCTGAGAGATCTGGATGGTTCATAATTTAGCAGAAGATCAGAAATGTATTTTGGGCCTAAACCATTCAGTGCTTTATAAACCAGCAGCAGTATTTTGAAATCTATTCTTTGACACACAGGAAGCCAGTGTAAAGACTTCAGAACAGGAGTGATGTGATCCACTTTCTTAGTGTTAGTGAGGACTCGAGCAGCAGCGTTCTGAATCAGCTGCAGCTTTCTAATATATTTTTTAGTGAGACCTGTGAAGACACCATTGCAGTAGTCGAGTCTACTGAAGATAAAAGCATGGACAAGTTTTTCCAAATTCTGCTGTGACATTAGTCTTTTAATCCTAGATATATTCTTTAGGTGATAGTAGGCTGATTTAGTAACTGTTTTAATGTGACTGTTGAAACTCAGGTCAGAGTCCATGACTACACCTAGATTTCTGGCTTTATCTGTTGTTTTGAACATTGCAGACTGAAGCTCAGCGCTAACTTTTATACGTTCTGCCTTGGCTCCAAAGACCATTACCTCAGTTTTATCTTTGTTTAATTGGAGAAAGTTCTGACACATCCAGTCATTGATTTGTTCAATGCACTTACTCAGTGTTTGAATTGGAGCATAGTCTCCTGGTGAAATGGTTATGTAAATTTGTGTGTCATCCGCATAGCTATGGTAACTTATTTTGTTGTTTTTCATTATCTGAGCCAGTGGTAGCATGTAGATGTTAAAGAGAAGAGGCCCCAAGATGGAGCCTTGAGGAACCCCACATGTCATATTTGTCAACTCAGATTTGTATTTACCTATAGAAACAAAGTTGTTTCTGTCCTTTAAGTAGGATTCAAACCAATTTAGAACTGTTGCCGAAAGTCCCACCCAGTTTTCCAGTCGGTCTAGTAATATGCTGTGGTCAACAGTGTCAAACGCAGCACTGAGATCTAATACTACTAACACTGAAGTTCTGCCACTGTCTGTGTTTAAGTGGATGTCATTGAAGACCTTTACAAGAGCAGTCTCAGTGCTGTGGTTTGGACGAAAGCCTGACTGGAACACATCAAAACAGTTATTTAAATGCAAGAAATTACTCAACTGTTGAAAGACTACTTTTTCAATGATTTTACCTAGAAATGGGAGATTTTATATGGGCCTGTAATTGTTCATTACTGAAGCGTCTAGATTATGCTTTTTTAAGAGCGGTTTAATGACTGCAGTTTTCAGGGCCTGTGGAAAAATACCTGAGTGAAGAGACTTATGGCGCGTTTCCACTGCAGCGGGGTAGCCCCGTTTAAGCGTCCCTAAGCGTCCTCGCTCTGGCCTCGGGCTGCCTCGCTGGCCGGCCCAGGCCGTGGCGCATTTCCATTACAGTTTAGGACCTGGGCTAGCAACGCAGTGTAGGCGGGGCGATCGGCTTTGTTTTTGTTCACATTTCGAGTTGTTCCGTCGAGCTCCCGCTGGATTTGATCATCCCCAATGAGATGTAGGAACGTCGTCACCTCCTCGGTCGACCACGGTGTGCTTTTCTTATTAGACGTAGCCATTTTTGTAGCTCATCCGTTTACAAAATGCTGTTTATAAAAATGCTGCAAGCTTGCTTCTAAATATATATGCAACGCTAGGGATGAACTCGCGCGCGATCTTGTGACGATTCTCTCTGACCAATCAGCAGTCGAGAGTGTTGACGTCACTAGTTCAGCCCTGGCCCTGGTCTGAGGGAACCACGATTTTATAAGGCCGGAAAAAGAGGGAAAAAGTACCCGCTGGCCGGTACTAGGCTATATGGAAACGCCACCAAAAACCGGCCTGGCCGCTTGAGGACGGTTAAGGACGCTTAAACGGGGCTACCCGCTGCAGTGGAAACGCGCCATTATTTACTATATGAAGTCGATCTGAGGCCATGCGATGAAAAACATTTTTGAAAAATCCTGTTGAATAATATCAAGGCAGCAGGAGAGGATTTCAGAAGTTGTATAATGTCCTCTAGGTTTTTATCATTAATCTGATGGAATTGTGTCATGGTGTTTGAATTGATATTAGGTGGACACAGAGACAAAACATTTGCTGTACCTGATACAGAGGCACTGACTGATTGTCTGATTTTCTGAATTTTGTCAGTGAAGAAGGAGGCAAAATCATTGCATGCCCTGGTGGATAGAAATTCAGAGGCTACTGACACTGGGGGGTTAGTTAGTCTGTCGACGGTAGCGAACAAGGAACGTGCGTTGTTTTTGTTTTTGGCAATGATATCAGAGAAGAAAGACTGTCGGGCAAATTTCAATTCCAAATTATAAAGGCCAAGTCTCTCTTTATAGATTTCAAAGTGAACCTGGAGATTTGTTTTTCGCCACCTGCGTTCAGCTTTTCGACACTCTCTTTTTTTCTCTGTTCTCACGGTCATGGCCTTTCTCCATGGAGATATTTTCTTCCCAGTCACTTCCTTTACCCTAGTTGGAGCAATGGGATCTATAACATTTTAAATTTTTGAATTAAAATGATCTACTAGCTCATTTACTGAGATGTTAGCAGGGGCAAGTGTGGAAGAGAAATTCTGAGTAAACATTTCCCTAGTATTTTCAGTTAAATATCGCTTTGTGGTTATCTCTTTTTGAACATTTTTGTGAACAGAAATAGAGCTCTCAAAGAAAACACAGGAATGATCAGAGAGTGCAACATCAGTCACCACAACCTCAGAGATATTCAGACCCTTTGAGATGATTAAGTCCAGAGTGTGCCCCTTATTGTGCGTGGGCTCCGTCACATGCTGAGTCAGTCCATAGTTATCAAGAACACAAAACAGTTCTTTAGCCCCTCTGTCCTGGGGGTTGTCAACATGGATGTTAAAATCACCAACAATGACTAGACGGTCAAAGTCAATACACACTATAGACAGCAGTTCAGTAAAGTCATCAAAAAAGCTTGCACAGTATTTGAGCATTTCAGCTGAAGGGCCACATATTCAAAAGAAGCAAAGTTCCCATAAGATGTCTTCCTGCATTGAAGGGAATCATTGTACAAAATAGCAACTCCACCTCCTCTCTTATGCATTCTTTCCTGACTCATAAAACTAAAGTTGGGAGGGGTTGATTCGATAAGAACAGCTGCACTGTTATTTTGTTCAATCCAAGTTTCTGTTAAAAACATAAAATCGAGATTGTGCTCAGTGATAAAATCATTGATTAAAAATGTTTTTCCTGCCAAATACCTGACATTTAATAAAGCTAGTTTAAGTTTGTTGAACACACTATCAGTCAGGTTTTTTGTAATAAGCTGTGGCTGACATGGAATCACTGCTAAATTTGATAAACTCACACAAACTTTTGAGCGCTTCCTGTATCTAAGCTGATTCACCGCTCTTAATCTATTACCTATCAACCAGCTATCAACACAGATATCGGCAAAGCTACAGGCAGGCAGGGCCCCGGCATGTCCTGGAAAGAGTTGAGAGTGCCATACGCCCTTGAGCCTGGACCCAGCATATATCAGTCAGTGTTTGCGTTTTTTACACACACATCCTTATCAGGCTTCGGAGACAGCAGTCTTGAAGGGGGGGAGGACGTTTTGGTCCGGATGATTGTGGTAGGCATGGTGACGGGGGTGTTGGTGCACGTCCAGGGGGAGGAGGTGGTTGACGTAGGCACGGTGACGGAGACGGGGGAGGTGGTGCGCGTCTCTGCTTCGGTGATTTTGATGGGCGTCGTTGAGGAGCGGGGGTAAAGGACATGCTGCCAGCCCTGCGTATCGCCTTAGTTTGGTTATTGAACTCCAGGAAGGAATCGGTGCCAACCCTCTGTATCTCCTTCATGTGTTCAGCGATCTCCAGGAAGGTGGGCGAGGGTGAAAGGGTGAACGGAGAGTAGAGAGAGCTGTGGGGTGAAGGAAGAGTATCCTCAGAGGTGATAGGGGGGGTGAAGGGCGGTGGAGACTCCTCCATTTGTCTCCCATAATCAAGACATTCCTCAGGCGGGTGCAGTGATAGATTTTCAAGGTTTTCTGAGCGATGTGTTGTGTCTTTCTCTTGTTTTGATTCCTCTTGTTGCTTGTCCTTGGCAGAGGGAACAGATTGATGACGCAGGCAGTTGAATATGTTAGAGATAAACAATTTCACTCCTGACTTGTTCAGGCAAACTCCATTTGCCTTAAAAAGATGTCTGCGGTCTCAGAAAAAGTTAAAGTTGTCAATAAAATGGACAGAATGGTCAATACAGACAGTTGAAAGCCATGTGTTCAGTGCAAACAGTCTGCTGAATCTCTCCACTCCTCTTCTGACTGGCGGTAGAGGGCCACTGATGAACACCTCTGCATTTAGAGAGCTGACAGTTTCCAACAGACATTTAAAGTCTTTTTTCAGCACTTCTGACTCTTGTTTCACAACATCATTTGTTCCAATGTGCAGTACCACATTTTTTACAGTCTGATGTTCAGCCCCAATATGCAGGATCTTCTCAGCCAAGTCAGAGACCACATCCTTGGGAAAACAGAGTACTTTGATGTTGTTCTTACTACACAGACTTTTTACATCTCTTACAGCAGAGTCACCCACAATCAGAGTTTCAGGCCCAGTCGTTAGCTTTCCCTCTAGCCTTTTACTTTTGGAGTAGCTATTGTAGATATAAGTAGATTTCCGGATTCTTGCTCTCTTTCTATTCCTATTTCCTTCCTAAATGTCTCAGTACTGCTTATCTCAATGTCTTCTCTTTCTCTCCACCATGCAGGAGATTGTCAGCTATAACTGCCGTGGGCTTGTAGCCAACATGCCACTGTTCGCCAACACTGACCCTCATTTTGTGACAGTGATCCTGACCAAGCTGCGTTTCGAAGTCTTCCAACCTGCAGACTTGATCATAAGAGAAGGAACGCTGGGTCGTAAAATGTACTTCATCCAGCACGGCAGCGTCACTGTCATACCACGTGGCAGTAGGGAGATTACGCTCAACGATGGAGCATATTTTGGAGGTAAATCATTTATAAATCTGTTCCCAAAGCTGTCCCAATCAATAGGAGGCTCTTTGAATGTGGTACCGTGTTGCTGCTCTCCGTTGTTAACGGGACAAACTGCAGGTAAATAGGGTAAATCATTCAACTAATATATATCACTATGACACCTGCCCAACTGCTACCTTTTAACAATGAGTCATTATGTAAGAACTAAGACATACATTGATTTAGAGCTGAAATAATTAGTAGATTAATTGATTGATTTATACACAGAAAAATAATAACTTTTTTGATGAACCATTAGTCATTCAAGCTATTTTTGAGCAGTGAAGAATCCGGTAAACAATCCAACACTAATTGGATACTTTATTGTAAAATGAATATTAGTATTTTTTGAGGATAGTTAAATGAGAAGACTCTTTTCCAAACATCAAACTATGCTTTAAAGGTTAAACCTAAACCTATTTCTTGTTTCAGAGATCTGCCTTCTGACCCAAGGACGACGCACAGCCACTGTGAAGGCGGAAACATACTGTCGCCTTTACTCCCTGAGTGTGGACAGTTTCAACGAAGTCCTGGAGGAGCATCCTCTGATGAGGAGGGCGTTTGAGAGCGTGGCTGTGGACCGCCTGGACCGAGTGGCTCGCAAACTCAGTGTTGAGCCACCTTCAGATGAATGACTTACTCAGTACCAAGAGAGAGAGACTCCTGCCTGAAATGTGGAGGATATTTGTCTCGCTTTGACTGAACTTGACCACGATACAAAGAAATCTTTGATGTACATTGTAACATTTGCTCTCTCATTAATGCTGAGTGACGGAGACTCTTGTTTTTATTTATTAACACATTAGTGCTGCACTTTGTTGAAACTGTTGCTCCTTCAGATGATTTCAATTTGTTTATTGGATCTTAAGTCGTTATCTAAAATCATAATTTAAGATAAGATAAGATGTACTTTATTAATCCCAATTTGGGCATTTTTTTGTGTTGCAGCAGCATAAAACAAAAGGCATTGCACATAATAACAAATTAAAAGAGTAGAAAAAACTATTCTAAAATATAAACATTTCAAAATAGAAATAAAAAAGCATTAGAGAGTAAGACAAATATACAGATGACCAATTTCTGGTAAATCTTTGTACATATTTCATGTTAGAGTCATGGTTCAGTTAACAAATGAGAACATCTCTAGTTTCTTCAGCAATTTATTTTTGGGGTGATTTAAATGCTTTTCCCCGAATGGCAAGCCACAACATTGACTTTTACTAATGTTAATACTGCTTTTCATTTGCTTGTATGCTTTCTAACACTGCAGTTCCATTATACATTGCTTTATTTATACGAAAGCAGGAGCACCATCTGGGCGATGTAGCGCTGATTCCAGTGATCCCTCAGGTCTGTGGGATGCATCAAGTCTCGGATTAACACTAATGTTTAAAAAGCTGCTGTTACGTAAGAACGCTAAATGTACAGAGACAAATTGTACACAGTTAGACACCAATGTTTAAATTGCCACATTTTCTGGTACACAAAGAGGTATCCAATATTATGTTATGTATACTTTATTTTCAAATAGCACCTTAGTCTGTTTTAGGGTTGCAAAATTACGGGAATTTTCAAAATTGAAGGTTGGCTCTTCATAGGGAACTTAAATATAGTTGGGGAAAGTATATTTTAGCATAATCTTGACTAAAACAAACAGATGCCATTCAAGTACACTTGAATATCCATGCCATAGCACACTGCTTACTGCATGGCTATTGAGCCCACACCACCTACAGCCACTGTGCATTCCTCCATCACATGCACAGATGAGTAATATTTAACTCAACATTCCTGTTTTCGTTCTTCAATTAAACAAATAATTGTTCAATAAAATAATTAAAACTTGTTCTGTTCTACTTTAAAATTAAAATAAATCTGTTGAAATGTCATGTTTTTTGTTTAATTTTGCATCGAATATTTCGAAAATTCCCCAGCTTAACTTCCCATGTTAAATTTCCGGAAAGCCCCTTTGCAACCCTAGTTGTTTTATGTATTTAACTATACCTTGAGTAGGTTTATTTGCAGGGATGTAATTACAAAAAGTTCAGCTCATTTTATTTATTGTAAATTAAAAAATAAATTTCATTTGAGATCCATATTAGCAGACACAAAAAACATATCAAACGTATGTGTGCTATAGCTACTGTATCGAGTCATGGGTTGTTAAGCCTATGTTATCAATGTGACAGTGACCATTTCATTATCACACCATAGTGTTCTTTTTAAACCACAATTCCCAGCCTATCCTTCTCCATGATGAATGATCCTCATACCGATGATGTCATGTAAATATAAATATCTCTAACCTTCAAACAAATAATAAACAACTATTTTTCGCCTATGCAAATCATTTCAAATATGATTATGCAAATGATTGCACACACATACCACTGAAGAAAGACATACTCAGATATTTTACTCAAGTAAAAGGATTTTCTTGATGTAAAAAGATCTCTTCATCATACAAGTAAATTTATACTTGTTAAATTATAGAAGCTCCCATTAGTTTTATATTATATAACTCTAGTGCCTCGTTTCAGATTGCTTTATGTTTAGCAACATTTTAAACTTCTAATATATTTTGGGTAATTTCAAGTATTCTGAAAAGTAATATGTGAGTATACATTTCAAATTGAGTTACAAAATGTATTATATGTCCCTTTGTATTATAGTAGAGAGGAAGCATACATTATAATAAACATAAACATACTTAGAAGTGTCTTGATAGCCTCTTTGCATAGTCAAATTAGCAATTAGTTATACATGTTACTTGTTAGACGCTTTTATCCAAAGCGACTTACATACTCAATACTGTGGGCAATCCCCACAGGAGCAATTTGGGGAGAAGTGTCTTGCCCAGGGACACAACGACATGCTGACTGCAGTGGGGTTTTCCCCTGATCCGAACACCAACGCACTAGTCCACTGCGCCACAGCCTCCCTAGTTCTTGCCCTCAAAATGTACACAGATGGTTCTAAGAACAAGGAAGAGTGTGTTGGAGTTGGTATATATATCCCAGACTTTAAAATATCGATCTCAAAAAGAGCGTCATATCAACTATCAGTGTACACAGCAGAAATGCTGGCAGTAATAATAGGATTACAGTGGGTTGAAGAGGTCAGACCAGATAGGGTGATATGCACAGATTCATTATCCATATTAAAAAGCATAGTCAACAACAACTCAGAGAATATATACTCACAGAACTTAACCATATAGCTTGTTAAGACTTCACAGAGGCGGTATAGATATTCTGTTCTGCTGGGTGCCTGCATGAGGGGGTGAAAGGGAATGAGTGTGCTGAAAAGTTAGCAAAAAGTGCATTGCAAAAGGAAATAACATTACCAGTTCAACTTGGAAAAGGAGAAGGAAAAGCAGTTATTAAGAAAAAAGGGATGGAGATCTGGCAGAAAAGGTGGGAGAAAGAAAGGCAAAGAGTATCATAAAGTACAAAAGACAATCATAATTAATATTTATAAAGAAAGAAACAGAAGGGGGGAAATCATGATAGAGACTCAGACTGAATCACACAGCATTGAATAGTACGCTGTATGTCATGGGGAAAAGTAACAGTGACAAGTGTAGGAACTGTGGAGTTAAAGAAACATAATCGTATTACATTGTGACATCTATAAAGCTGAAAGAGAAAAACTAATGGATAAAGTTATAGAGGCAGAGAGGGAGTGGAATGTGTTTGGTATTCTGGCACTGTTTACCTTTCTGAGTGAAACTGAGGTGGGTAAACTAATCTAACATTAGGTTAGAATAGATCATGGATTTTTGTTTTGTTTTATTTATTTTTATTTTACTTTATTTTTTGTTTAGATCATGGATATATACGTCCATGAGTTGAGAGATGGAATGACATGATGATACACCATAGACTGTGATACACACTCATGTACAGTAGGTGGCGGTATGCAACTAAAAGCTGTTTGCGATCCGCAATTTAAAAAGAGAAGAAGAAGAGTGGTTGTGAGTGGTTTTGATGACAGCTTCCGGTTCTATATCCGTTGATTTCCGGTAGTGTTTCATAAACTCGGGACGTAGAGAAGGTAAGAAGCAGCGATTATTTGCAAATTTAGACCAAAATCTTTCACCATTAAATATATTTAAATGCAGATTTTATTACAGCTTTTATCACCGAATTATTTCACATGGTGTCAATGTGATATCTGAATGCTACGTCCTAGATATGCTGTTTTTGTTCTGACATTACAAGGTTAACCGCTAGCTAACTTAGCTTAGCGCCAGGCTGACAGCAGTAGGTATTCAGCATGGGAGTAAGTGTGGGCTTTAAAAAGACACTTGAACGAAGCAAAACGTTCAGGTTTTCCCATAATTAGTCAGTTATCTGAAATATTACAGTTGACAGCGATATGATTGATAACATTACTAGCACTCGCATTCACCTTTCTTAGCTAACATTCCTCTGACATAACAACATCTCATAACAAGTTTCACAAGGTCTCTATCCAAGCTATTTAGTTTAATTCAAGCATCTATTGGTGGGTGCCATTAAAATACATGTTGATCTATTGTTAGTTGGTTTTATCGTGATGAAACAAAATGCTGCTTAAACAGAAATTGCGCTCACTCGTTGGCTCTTGTTTTGATGCTATTTAATAGGTTGTAGCAGTTATGACAAAAGGTTGTTATAACATAAATTCAAATGCATTACTCTGGTATTTAAATTAATATGTATTGTTGGAAGTTGAGTTGATTTTGGTCTTTTCTCGTATATAAAAGTAATCTGTACACCTCTCAGAAAACCTAAAGAGTGTTAGCTGAAAGTGCCACCTTAGTTTTCCAGCATACCAGTGGATTCGTCAACCAGAGCACCAACAAAGCAGTTCAATATGTGCAATTCTATAACTTAACCCCATGCTTATGATGAATTGGAAATGGGGGACCCTGATGTAAACAAGACGTCTTTCTCTGGTCTGCATCCCCTTAACAATTGTATGTTTTGAGCTGTACTGTACTGTACCCAATATACAAGCTGTTAATACACTTTTCAATCAATCAATCAATGCTATAGTTTTGATGCCACCAGTAAATAACTTCTATATTTTAACCATACTTAATATGAGAATTAAAAACGTTTTTTGAACTACAGCCTTTTTCATTAAATAATGATGTATTTCACTTTAAACATTTTCTCAGAAGTAACCTAAAACTTATATTTGATTTGTCATCTCATTGTCTTTTCCTTATGCAGGAAGTATGCTGGCCCTGTCCCGTGCAGTGATGTGTGGGGTGACCCGCGCCCCAGCTGCTGTCAGTCAAGGTGGAGTGACCACTATCACTCGATACAACAGCACGGCACAGGTAGCTGTACTGCTCTTAATAAAAAACGGAAATAATAATAATACAGTTGAATATAAACATTAATAATGTGTTGTCTTATTTTTCCAGACTGCTCCTAAGAAAACAACATATGGACCTCTGGCTGATCAAGACAGAATTTTTACTAACCTTTATGGTCGCCATGACTGGAGGTAACATCCCTCACCTTATTCCTATGTGCTCTATAAAATCTTACACAATACAAAATTATGTGCTGATCAATAAAAGTCAAAGAAGAATTTCAGTTATGCCTTTTTTACGTAAAAAGAACACAATCCTCACCTATGTTTGTGTTTCAGGTTGAAGGGGGCATTGAAGCGGGGCGACTGGTACAAAACTAAGGAGATCCTTCTGAAGGGAGTGGACTGGATCCTCAATGAGGTCAAGGTTTCTGGCCTGCGTGGAAGAGGCGGTGCTGGTTTCCCTACCGGCATGAAGTGGGGCTTCATGAACAAGCCCAGCGATGGAAGGTCAGGAAGGAGACAGACAGATGCACACATCTGCTTCTTTTGCATTTAACTGACAATTACTATCACATTCAATCTAATTGATTATTCATCAAAACATTTACCAGCTCTTGCAACTAGCACAATGAAGATTGATTTTATTCTTTCAGCATCTCTATACATCAGTTAGCTTGATATTTGAATCAACAAGGCAGCATGTTTATTATTCATCAATTCCCTCTTACTAGCCATTTAGAAAAATCTCAGATTTTGCAGTTTCTTAATGAATTTACTCATCAATAACTCACCTTGTCTTTTCCAATCAAATTGAAGTTTGCTCTTCTCTATTTAACCCAGTTCTGGTTTCTTGCTTTAGGCCAAAGTATCTGGTGGTGAACGCAGATGAGGGAGAACCTGGCACCTGTAAGGACAGGGAGATCATGCGTCATGACCCACACAAGCTGGTGGAGGGCTGCCTGGTGGCTGGGAGGGCCATGGGGGCACGTGCTGCTTATATTTATATCAGAGGAGAGTTCTACAACGAGTCGTCTAACCTGCAGGTAGACATGGACTGACTAACTTGATGTATAAACCTTAAATGCATTGTACAAATATACATTTAGATTGATCCAAAGCAGTTGAGGTGTAGTTGTACATGTTTTCTTAAAAATTCCATCCTTTTTAACTCTTCTATTTTCAATTGTGTGCTCTTAGGTGGCTGTTAATGAGGCCTATGCAGCTGGGTTAATTGGAAAGAACGCCTGTGAATCCGGTTATGACTTTGATGTGTTTGTGATGCGTGGTGCTGGAGCGTACATCTGTGGAGAGGAGACCGCTCTCATTGAGTCTATTGAGGGGAAGCAGGGAAAGCCCCGTCTGAAGCCCCCGTTTCCTGCTGATGTTGGTGAGTTCATGGCCACAGAGAGGTTTGAAAGGTGTTGCATAAAATATCGAAAACGTGAGGAAAAAATGACCCGTACAGACAGAAGTTCCTGAATCGTGTCCTCTCTTTAATGAGACATTTGGCTTGCTGACTTTGTATGACCCGTCTTCACCCACGCCA